TGTGAGCGTGGCATGGATGACCGTTGCCAGAGCCTCATCCGACAGGTAAGGTGCCAGTTGCCTGGCTTGTCGTAGAAGGGGCCCTCCATCTACGATTATCATAACAATAATCATAAACTTTATTTACACCCTGCCACCATCTCTGCAAAGGGGACTCGGAGCAATTGACATAAGGCCTTCCGTGGCATCACAAGGCACCTTCCGTATGGCTCAGCCTTTGGTCTGGATGTTTCTGGTCCTGAGACCATCTCGTAATGTTTGGCACCAAGATGCCTCAGTCCCTGCCCAGGGCTGGCCACGCCATTGGGACTCCTGTTCCCCTCTGCGTGTGGCATTTCCTCTTGGCCCTCCTGGCTTTCAGCCCATCCCCAAGACACCAACTGCCCAGGAAAGGGACCCGACCAAGAGCCCTTGGCCTCTGCTCCTGGCAACGGCATCTCGAGTCCCATGAAATGCCGCCTGAGCCAAGGCCAACCATTTCGGGCCCATGGGTTTCATGCCCTACTCCACAAAGTTGAGTTCCAGGGCCAGAGAAGCAGATGGCGGAAACAGAAGAACGGCCTGCCTCAGGGAAGCGTGCTTGCGCCATCCATGTTCAACATCTACACAAATGACCAGCCACTGCCAAAAGGGACAGAGAGCTTCATCTATGCTGATGATCGTGCCATCACCGCTCAAGCAGGGAGCTTTGAGATGGTTGAACAGAAGCTCTCTGAAGCTCTAGGTGCTCTTACTGCCTATTGCAGGGAAAACCAGCTGATCCCTAATCCATCTAAAACAAAGACATGCACCTTCCATCTCAAGAACAGACAAGCATCCCAAGCTCTGAGGATTATTACCTGGGAAGGAAGGAATCCCACGGGAGCATTGCAGCGAACCCAAATACCTGGAAGGAGTCACTCTGGACCGTGCTCTTACCTACAAGAAGCACTGCCTGAACATCAAGCAAAAAGTGGGTGCTAGAAACAATATCATACGAAAGCTGACTGGCAGAACCTGGGGATCACAACCAGACACAGTGACGACATCTGCCCTTGCGCTGTGCTACTCTGCTGCTGAGTATGCATGCCCAGTGTGGAACATATCTCACCACGCTAAAACAGTGGATGTGGCTCTTAATGAGACATGCCGCATTATCATGTGGTGTCTGCGCCCTACACCACGGGAGAAATTACACTGTCTAGCCGGTATCACACCACCTGACATCCGCCGGGAAGTGGCAGCCAAGAGTGAAAGGACCAAGGCAGAGACATCCCCAGCTCATCCCTTGTTTGGGTATCAGCCAGCATGTCAACGACTTAAATCAAGAAATAGTTTTCTAAGATCTACAGAGATACTCGCTGGAATGCCTCAGCAAGCGAGAGTCCAAAAGTGGCAGGCTCAATCCCAGAACTTCAACCAATGGCTGATACCAAATGGGAGACTCCCCCCTGGGCACACAGAAGACGGGGCGACTTGGAAGGTGCTGAGCAGACAGCGCTCTGGCACCACAAGATGCAGAGCCAACCTCAAGAAATGGGGCCACAAAGTGGAATCCACGACATGCGAGTGTGTAGAAGAGCAAACCACAGACCGCCTGCTGCCATGCACCCTGAGCCCTGCCACATGCGCCATGCAGGACCTTCTTGCAGCAACACCAGAAGCACTCCAAGGGGCCAGAGACTGGTCAAAGGACATCTAATCAACTACCAAGCTTGCAAATTTTGTGTTTTGTCTGTTTGTTTTTGTTAAAAATGTAATACAAATGTCTGGTTGCTGATGACACAATAAATGTTTTTAAGGTAATATAGTAAAGGAATGAAAGTCTAAATAAAGCAGTGTTGCTTGTTGACTTGAATTTTTTTTAAATAAATAAATAAATAAATAAAATGTCCTGCTTTTGGTCATGCACTGCTTTCATCATTAGCAGGATCTGCAAGGAACTGATGGGTGCCTGGTTGAAACCTCAGCCCCAGGCTCCCTATGGCTTTGTTGGGGTCCCCGAGGACCTCTTGGGGAGCCTTTGGGGAGCCCATTGCAATCTGGTCACGTTGGCCTTCCTGGGATGGGACCTGAGAAAACTCCCCAGTGCTGGGACCGCTTCTGCCTGCAGCACTACGCGTGTGTCTCTGGGAGCGCACATGGATGAGGGCACTTGCCTCATGCCTGTCTGGGCCACGTGAACGGTCCTTCCGGAGGCATCCTCAACAGCAGCAAAGTGGGGGAGACAGTGCTGATGGGTCTGTCCTGCTTGTCAGAGGAAGGCGGCCAGGAGTCCTGTGGGAGCAAAGGGAGGCATGCGACCTCATGCGCCTAGGCAGGGACCAGGCAGGAGGGCCCCAGAAGGCGCCAGTGGATGCCTTTTGCCATTTGGAGACCCAGCACCCAGGAAGGGAGCCTGGCTGGGACGTGGCCGCTGAGCATCTCCCACCTGCCCCCCCCCATGCGAACTCTGACAGATGTGGGCACTGATGCGTAGGGCAGGGCGCTATTTATAGCAGCAGGCAGGCAGCGTGACTGTGACCGCAGCATCCCAACCAGCTCCCTCCCGTTGCGCACAGGGACCTCCGCAGGGGCTCCACGTTCTCCTCCTCCTCCTCTTCTGGCCCTGGCACCCGCCTGGACACGTGTCGGACCCCCTTCCCGGCAGACAACAAGCGCACCGCGTGCCACAGCCGTTTCTTCCCTCGGCCTCATGCATAAGTCAAAGGCAGGTTTGGGACCCAAACGTTTGGCAGTGGTTTGAGTACAAGCTGAAGGCCGTTCCACCAACGGCACTGTGTACCTCCACCTAGACACGCAAAACACCCTTGCAATGTGGCAGCACTGCCGGACAGAGATGAAGGGGAGGCGGGCAAGGTCTTTCGGGTTCTTCTAGGACGGACAAAGCTCGTGCCTTTCGCCGATGGACTCGGAGAAGGAGATCCTTCCTTCTTGGTGAAGGTTAAGGTGTAGACCCTATGCTCACCTGTGGGCACTTGGCTTAAAATTCTAGACTTGCATACACATGGAGATGGAAGGTCCAGGCAGCCCCCAGGTTATGAACAAGAGAAGTTTGGTAGGATTGTATCTGAGTTGAATTAGTAAGCCAGAACAGGGACATTTTGAAAGTGTGACTCTCTCTTTGTATATAAGCTTTTGATCACATAGGAAAGGGTTAGTACAGGCTACCTGGGCCCATTTGCCCTCAGCCCTCCCTCAGGTGTGGACTACAGAACCTATTATCCAAGGTCTGGAGAACAAGCCCTATGAGGAGCGGCTTAAGAGGCTGGGCATGTTTAGCCTGAAGAAGAGAAGGCTGAGAGGAGACATGATCAAGGGTCTGGAGAACAAGCCCCATGAGGAGCGGCTTAAGAGGCTGGGCATGTTTAGCCTGAAGAAGAGAAGGCTGAGAGGAGACATGATGAGGGCCATGGATAAATATGTGAGAGGAAGCCACAGGGAGGAGGAAGGAGCAAGCTTCCTTTCTGCTTCCCTGGAGACTAGGACGCAATGGAACAATGGCTTCAAACTACAGGAGAGGAGATCCAATCTGAACCTGAGGAAGAACTTCCTGACTGTGAGAGCCGTTCAGCAGTGGAACTCTCTGCCCCGGAGGGAGTGTGGTGGAGGCTCCTTCTTTGGAAGCTTTGAAACAGAGGCTGGATGGCCATCTGTCGGGGGTGCTTTGAATGCAATATTCCTGCTTCTTGGCAGAATGGGGTGGGACTGGAGGATGGCCTAGGAGGTCTCTTCCAACTCTGTGATTCTATGAGGCTGGATGGCCATCTGCCAGGGGTGCTTTGAATGCAATATTCCTGTTTCTTGGCAGAATGGGGTTGGACTGGAGGATGGCCCAGGAGGTCTCTTCCCACTCTAGGATTCTAGGAGAAGTTTGGCAGGTTGGCATTTGAGTTGAATTAGTAAGCCAGAACAGGGACATTTTGAAAGTGTGACTCTCTCTTTGTATATAAGCTTGTGATCACGTAGGGATCACCCTGGCCCACAGCCACTGGACCAGGTGGGGCTGTGGGGAAGGTCCATGTTTGTGTGGTCGTCTTCTTTTACAACGGCTTCCTGCTTCTATTCATTTAAAGAACACTTTGGTTTGACAAACGGCAGCATTGGCAATCTGAAATGGAGTGGGGTGGATTGGTCTGTGGACCAGATCTGGCACTTTGAGGTGGGGGTGGTGGACAGCTGTTCTGCAGTGTTTCTTAATCACATGAAATGTTTGGCTTGGAATGTCATTGGGCAGCCACACAGCTGTCTCCCACCCACCCCCGTCATTTTGTGCTGCCCCCTCCCCACAGTGCCCCTTCCCCCCTTCCCTTTTACACCTCCCTGCACAAGGCTCGCACTCTCCTGCAGGCCAGACCCACCTTTTCTGAAGAACCCCCCCCCCCCTTTGGTCTACCAAACTCTGAGCCGGATCCTCAGAGTCTGCATTTCCTCTCCCGGCCAGTGGCCAAAGGGGCCCTTCGTCCAGCCAGAACCTTCGGCATTGGGAGCCCCCCGGCACCACTGATCTTTCTGGGTCCAGGGAGGACGGCAGCCCCGTTGAGGGGAATGTGCTAGGGCCAAGGCGGGCCCCTCGGTGCCTCTGCTTCAGCCCAAGGCATCTGCCCACTGGTCACAAGGACAAAGGAAGGCCGGCACAAGGCAGAATCCAGCCGTTTCCCAACTGCAGGCGGCCAAAGAGGCACCTCTGCTAAGAAAAAGGCCAAAGGCCCAAAGATGCTTTATTTCCGCTTCAACTGTCTGCTCCAAATGCGCAGGATCCTGCTTCTCCTTCACAGAGCAGGCCTCTTCCATCCTCAGAAGAGGGCGGGCCCCAGAGACCCCTCTCCAGCTGGACCCCAGGGAGGGGAGGGGAGGGGAGAGAGGGGAGGGGTCTTAAGCACCAGGCTGGCTTCAGGAGGCCTCCTTTGGGGGGGGGGGGGAAGCTGCTGTGCACTGGACACAGATCATCACTTTTGCCAAGAGAAATGTGTCCCCCCCCCCAACAGTTCCAGGAGCATCCTCCCCGCCCCCACCCCCCCATCCCACTCTCTCTCTCTCTCTCTGTGCCAGGATTCCTCAGAGGAAGCGGCTGCTTCCTGGTGGAGTGACGTCCAGCGATAACTGGACAGCCGGACGGAGAGGGGAAGCGCTTGGCCCTCTGGCCGGCCCATTGTCTTGCACCTCCCCAGTGTCCAGAGGGAGGGGCGCACTCTGTCCGGACCCCATGCCTACGCCTCCCCCCCCCCCGCTTGTCCCCCAGGGCCACTCAACCTCCCTCCTGGGGGATGGGGGTGTTGCAGTTGCCGTGGTAGAGCTTGACGGGCCCCTGGTCGCAGCGGAAGTATTGCTCAAAGACGCCCTCGTAGCCGTGGAGGCGCCACCAGGTGCAGAGCTGCCGGTTCCAGGCGCAGGGCAGGCGGTGGAAGAGGGCCGGGTGCTCCATGCCGGCCAGCGTGAAGAAGTCCTGGTCGCCCAGGTGGCCCCGGAAGTGATACCGCTGGGCCAGCGCACGCAGGGCGCCCTCCTCCAGCAGGCTGTTGTACAGCCCCGAGCCGCGCATGGCCGCCAAGTCCAGCAGCAGCACCCCACTGTTGAAGCCTGGAAGACCCTCTGGGGGTGGGTCCCCCACTCGCGTCCCTGGGTTCTCCTTCCGGAACTGCCAGAAGAGGTGCCTGCGCATGGGGGTGGGGGGGGGGGGGGAAGAAAAAGAGAGAGGCCATGGCAATGGAGGAAGGGGAGGGGGCAACACTGCACACAGAACAGACCACATTCAAAGACACTCTGCGTGGAGTGCAGGTGCTTACCTACAAAGCCCTGAACGGTTTGGGACCCGTCTACCTGCGTGACCGCATCTCCGTATATGAACCCACACGTTCCCTTCGATCATCTGGAGAGGCCCTGCTCTCGATCCCACCTGCGTCGCAAGAGCGATTGGGGGGGACGAGGGACAGGGCCTTCTCCGTGGTGGCCCCCGACTCTGGAACTCTCTCCCCAAGGACATCAGACAAGCCCCAACATTGGCAGTCTTTAGGAAGAGCTTGAAGACGTGGTTGTTCCAGTGTGCCTTCCCAGAATAGGAAACTCCCAGCATCATGTCCCAATTGCACTTTACTAGAGATTAAGATTGTCTGCACACCGCACCTATCTCCAAAAACCTATCCACCTCACCTGTCATGTTCAGCATTTTGAAAATTTTAATCATTACATTTGGCCCAGCCTTAGTTTTAAATGTGTCATGGTGTTATAGTCTAATGTTTATTGCTATTGTTTTATGAATTTATTGTTGTATTTGTTATGCTCTTGTTTTATTGACACCAGAGGCATTCCAAGGGGCCAGAGACTGGCCAAAGGACATTTAATCAGCTACCAAACTCACACATTTTGTATTTTGTCTGTTTGTTTGCTTTCTTCTGTTAGAAATGTAATATAATTGACTGTTTGCCCTGACCTTGGCCTCTTGTAAGCCGCACCAAGTCCTTTGGGAGATGTTAGCAGGATATAAATAAAGGATTATTATTATTATTATTATTATTATTATTATTATTATGGAGAAATTACACTGCTTAGCCAGTATTGCACCACCTGACATCCGCCGGGAAGTAGCAGCCAACAGTGAAAGGACCAAGGCAGAGACATCTCCAGCTCATCCCCTGTTTGGGTATCAGCCAGTACGTCAACGACTTAAATCAAGACAGAGTTTTCTTAGATCTACAGAGACACTCGCTGGAACACCCCAGCAAGCGAGAGTCCAAAAGTGGCAGGCCCAAACCCAGCACCTCAATTCATGGGTGATACCAGATGAGAGACTCTCTCCATCCTGGGCACTCAGAAGACTGGGCGACTTGGAAGGCGCTGAACAGATTGTGCTCGGGCACCACGAGATGCAGAGCCAATCTTAAGAAATGGGGCCACAAAGTGGAATCCTCGGCATGCGAGTGCGGAGAAGAGCAAACCACTGACCACCTGCTGCAATGCACCCTGAGCCCTGCCACATGCACAAGGGAGGACCTTCTTGCGGCAACCCCAGAGGCACTCCAAGTGGCCAGGTACTGGTCAAAGGACATTTAACCAAATACCAAATTTGCAAAATCTGTGTGGTTTTTTCTTTCTTTCTTTTTTTCTTTTTCTTTTTAATCTCTGTGTTTGTTTTGCTCTGTTAGAATTGTAATACAATGGTTGCTGATGACACGATAAATAAATAAATAAATAAATAATAATTATTATTATTATTTAGGGGTAATGGTCTGCAAAGGAAAAGGCTGGATAATGAGCAATGCAGGCGGGGGTTCATGGCGGATTTGAAGCAGGTCAACGAGGGGCTAAAAACCAATTGCACTTGAGATGAACACCTGACTGCAAAAATGTCAGAAGAGTTTTTGCAATTTGGAACAGAGGAAGACTGGGTGGTCAAATAGAGGCCCCCAATTCTGCTTGAACAAGGGAAGCAAGTCTGGACATCACTTTCTGCAATTATTATTATTATTATTATTATTTTGTATCAAAAGCATTGCATAAATTAGTATAAAACCAATAAAGATGGAAGGAGCGCAGGTGGCTAAATATCTTTTGACCAAAAACGGGCAACGGCACTGTCTGTAGCCTCCAACAATTCCTCCTCTGTCCATGAGGCAGGGCACAATGGACAAGCGCACAGATGCGGAGTTGCCTGCTTTGCTCCGCAGTCACACAAGGTGTGGGATTCTTTTAGGTTGTGCCATTTGGCCAGTTCGTCTTTTGATCTGGGGCAACACTGCACACAGAACAGACCACATTCAAAGACACCACGATGCTGCTCTCTGCGTGGAGCGCTC